TATATATATATATATATATATATATATATATATATATAAATATATAAAAAAATCTTAATTATAAAAATTAAAAAAAAAAATATATATATATATATATATTTAAAATATGTACGTTAAATTATAAAAATTAAAAAATAAAATAAGTAAAATTATAGGAAAAAAAATATTTTAACTTAAAACGTTATCTATACCCATATCATACCTTTTAATAAGATCAAATAATGTGACACGACTTCAATTTGAAAGAGAAGGGGGTGCTTCTCACATGTAGTCTCACCGAGAGATATATAACTATTACGTACAGAGTTTAATAGGAAGGAACTCAACGAATTTTGATTTATGTTAATTTTATTTTTTCATTTATTAATATTTAAAATTACAAATTTTTTTATTAATTATCTTTATATTTATTAGAAAGTTAATTGATCATCTTAAATAATATATATAATTATTTATGATATTTTGTCAATATATCATATCTTTAGAATTTGTTATAAATATAAAAAAAAAACATGTTATTTATTTATCTTATAATAAATGTTAATGACAAAAATAATAATTTTAAATTTTAAAAAGTTAAAATAAAATAAAAAATTATGAAACTAAAAATCAAAACTTATCTATTTACAACAATAATAGTTTTAAATTTTAGAGGGTTAAAAAAATAACACTTTCACAATAATAACATTAAAATTCGTTAGTTTTATAAATACTAAAAATATATTAAATCTTAATACTGAGATTATGTGATTTTGCTATATGTATATTTGTTAATGAGTTGTGGATGGTATTATTCAATTATTTAGTTAATAATTTTTTTCTCCTTTTTATATTTAAACTAAAGAATAATATTGAATATTTTTCAGAATTAGAAATTTTATTTTTTATGAGAATGTTTTGATGAATTTTTTATAGAAATATTTTTAGTTTTTATTTATCATAATTATTTATGAATTAAATTTAAATATTTAAAATTAATTATTAATAAATAAAAAATAATGTTATAATTTAAATTGTATATCATAAATTTAAAATATAATTTACATGATTAAAATATTTATTTATATAAATTTTAAGAATAATTTATATATTCGAATATAATATTTATTTATCTATACTAATATATAAAGGAAATACCATTTTCAGTAACTACCTTGATCTTTACTTTTTTTTACCATTATATCTTTTTATTTTAAAAAATTAAAAAGAATTTTTTAATCAAATTTAAGAAATTAAAACTAATAAATTTATACTAATATATAAAGGAGATACTAATTTTAATAATTACGTTTGATTTTTATTTTTATATGGACCATTTTATCCTTTGTTTAATTTTTAATAATTACATTTTTTATGAATAATTTTTCATTTTTTTTCTTTTTTATTTATTTTTTCCTTTAATACAATGCAGGCACGAAGTACCTTTTTCTTACTAATATATATAATTTATTATAATAAATATTTAGCATGTATATATTAAAATGCTAGTTTATATAAAAATTTAAAAAATAATTTAACCAACTATTTTGAGATGATGAAATTATAGAAAAAGCCTGTCAATTCTTCTACCCAAGTCAACTATATGTTTTTATAGTAAAATAATTAAATATATTTAAAAAAAAAAAAAAAAAAGGTCATGATCCGCCAAAACTAAATCCTTATTCTGCTCCACTGTCTAAATCTTCATCAAGACTTTTCACCCCTCCCTCCCCCAACTTTGAAGATGTCTTCTCATTTTAAAAAAAAAAAATCAAATATTTTGTTCAAGTGATAAACTTTTAGAAAATAGTAATGCAGTCAAAGAATAAAGTCTTTCAAATATACTCGGAATAAATAAATTAAAAAAAATTGAAAACAGTTAACACAGAAGGCCTAAAATGAAATCACACAAAATAACGTACTTTTCCTCCGATAGCACGCCGTGAAGACATCATCGACTTTAAGATTGCGTTCCTTGTCTGTTGTCGAGACCTTGTTTGTGTGCTTTTTACCTGCAATCACAAACCATTCAGTAATAACATTTTTCGTTCAAGGAAAACCAAACTTTAATTTAATTATGAAAACCCAAAATTAAAAAAATAAAATAAAATCTGCTTATGTAGAATTTCTGCTGGTGAGATATGTAGTTGCATGCTTCTTTATAATTTAATTAATTAGAAGAAATGAAATACGTACCCTCAAACACAGACGAAGTGTTAAAATTGATTTCACTTCTAGTTGGAAGAAGAAGCGTTATTACAGTTACAGAGAAGAGAAAGAAGAGACGGAGATTAAGATTAGTATTGGACAAGTGGAAAGGAAAGAACACCATTTTCAATAGGTCTTCTTAATTGACAAAATATCCCAATCTCTCAAACATTTCTCTTATTTCTTACATCCCGCCGCTAACAAACTAACTCAATCTAACAATTAATAAACTAAGGCTCGCTTTATCTTCAAGATTCAGAGATCCTCGACATCGGCAAGAAGAAGATATAATTGGAGATGAAGATGATGACCGAAGACAATGACAAAGAAATATCATGGCAATAACGAAGAATTGAGACCGGTAGATGGCCCAAGAAAATAACTAAATAAGCAACAAAAGAATAATCAAAAGAAAAAAAAAAAAAAAAAGACTCAATATGAAAACACGTGTTTAAGGTAAAAGAAAAGTAAAAGCTTGATGAATTCTTTTTATTTTTTATTTTAAGTCATAAGCCATGAAAGTTTTTTTATTTTTAATCTTATTATTGGTTTTGTGAACCTTCTTTTAATTGGTTCAACTTCTATATAAATAAAGTGGTAGTAGGGATTTCATGTTCTAGGATGTAACACCGTATGTTTTAGGTATTTTAATTAATTATAGATTAATTATTATTTTGTTGTGATTGATGTTGTTTTAGAGTTATTTTTTTTTTTTTGGAGTGGAGTGGTTAAGGAATCCTAATAATTAAGTTGTTTCTGTGTTAGTTTTGGTTAGGTTAGTTGGGTCAATTGAAGTAAGGATACATAAAATTTTTCTTAAGACATGAATATCATAAGTATGTTTTAAGAAAAATTAGAGAAAAGTTAGAGAGAAGATCTATGGAGCCAAAACAACCCTTCATTCCCTTACTTTCCTCTAATTCCTCCTAAATTCTTTCCACAATTGATTTGAGTTAGTATATTAGCGATTCAAAGCTTCTAGAGTCAAGAATCCCGAGTTGGGAGTTTTGCGGAGTTTTCAAGCTTGTCTTCCATTCCCTTATCCTCTACTCACTTTTGGATCAACTAAAGGTAAAAGAAGTTCATTGAATGAATATTGTTTGATTTCAATTGTTGTTTATTGTTTGGAAATCATCATTTATCTTGAGATTAATGAAAACCATGATGAATGGTGAAGTGTAGTTGTTGTAGTGGTTTTTGGTGAAAATAGTTATTCTTGGATTCAGATGGATGCATGTGTTGTTTTTTATTGGAATGGTGTTATATATGTGGTATGCGTGTAGATGTTTTCTTTGCATGTTGCTTATTTGCTAGATTTTAGGTGGATTGAGCCAAATAAAGGTTCTACCAAGTGTAGAGTTCTTCATCATGTCAGGTGCACCTTCATGGTATTGGGCGTGGTTCAAGGCAAGGGTTCACTGCTCTGATCACACTGGGCACAAGATTGATAGCATCGATCGTGGATGAGAGAGAAAAGGTTAACTTGGTCATGCCAAGCATGAGAATGAGAGGTGTTGGATGTGAGGGCTTGGAGTGTTCTTTGACTTGATGATGCTAGATGCAAGTGAAAGGCATCGAGCGTGATCAAGTTAGTGGCTCCCTGGTTGAATGATGTCAGACGCGAGTTAAGTAAAGACTCTCTACTTGAGTAAGACCGAGCTAGGTTTTACCACACTAGGCTTAAGAGATTAAGAAGTTCTTTGCCTCATCCTTGCTAGACGTAGGTGGATTGGCATTGAGCGTGGGTGAGACAAAAAAACTCCCTGTATCGATAGCACTAGGCACATAGGGAATGGCGTCGGCCGTTGGTTAACTGATTAAATATGATGTTTTAAGATGTTTTAACTTGGTCATGCCAAGCATGAGAATGAGAGGTGTTGGATGTGAGGGCTTGGAGTGTTCTTTGACTTGATGATGCTAGATGCAAGTGAAAGGCATCGAGCGTGATCAAGTTAGTGGCTCCCTGGTTGAATGATGTCAGACGCGAGTTAAGTAAATACTCTCTACTTGAGTAAGACCGAGCTAGGTTTTACCATACTAGGCTTAAGAGATTAAGAAGTTCTTTGCCTCATCCTTGCTAGACATAGGTGGATTGGCATTGAGCGTGGGTGAGACAAAAAAACTCCCTGTCTCGATAGCACTAGGCACATAGGGAATGGCGTCGGCCGTTGGTTAACTGATTAAATATGATGTTTTGAGTTGTTTAATAATTGAAAAATGATAGCTCAATTATATAAAAAAATGTTGAAGTATGATGATTTATTTATATGAATGATGATATATGGTGATGTTTAAAGTTGTCTATAGAGGATAGTTGATGAAGTTGTAAGATGTGTGTTATTTTAAGTTGTATGTTGAAAGTTAATGAAGTTGTATGTTGAAAGTTAATGAAGTTGTAAAGTTGTTAGGCATGTGGTGAAGATACATGTTTTAGTTGAGATGCATAAAAACTAGAGGAGAGTAAAGTTGTTTTAGAAATAAAATATCACATTGTGTGAATATAAGTTATGGTGTTCTAAGAATCCAAGTTGAGAACCCTTCAATAAAAAAGTTAACTTTTGAAGGGTAGTTGTTATTATCTCCTCTAGGTTTTATGTGGAACCGTATGGGGTATAGATTGAAGCATACATAACTTGACCAACTGAGCAAAGTACGAGGGGGTAAAACCCATAATAGATTAGGTGCATAGTATTTGAAGGGTAATTGATGGGCTAATCCCATATGAGACATAGATATGCTTGTTATGGTTGTGATAAGTTCACATCCAAGTTATTCTTTATTGACAGTAGTACTAGACTTTCTTAGTTTAAGTGACAAAATATGAGAAATCAATTTAATTTGTATACCTAGAACTTTGAGAAACCTAATGTTGTTCATACTTAACTTGGTTGCAATAGGTTAGACGTTGTATTTGGTAGGGTCTAACTACTTAAAATATTCACCTTTGTTGTAAGAGATCTTCGTAGTTGATATATGTAATGACACATTAGTTGTCTAAAGGTGCTTATGATGATGCGGTTGTTTGTATTGTAAGTTGTTGCCTTGTTGATATGATGAGCTTGTTGACAAGTTGAAAGTTGCTAAGTTGTGTTGCCTTGAATGTTGATTAAACTATTTATATTGTATTGTTGCAAACTTTTATTGTGAATGTTATGTTAGTTCTTTCACAAGCTTGCCCTTTCTTTTTCTTGGGATTGGAACTATGATAATTATACGTGATATGAAAGAAAAGTAGGATTAACAAGATGGGTTGGTTGGTTGGTGAAAGGTCATGTTAATGATGAGCTAGTTTTGGTGATGCTACTTTGATGTATGTAGACCCCTAAAATTGTCCGGGTCGGAAATAA